CTTAGTACTTTAGGCTCTAATATTTTCAGTAACTTGATACTTTAGTATCTTAATACTTTAGTATCTTACTAAATTGAACGATAGCTTGCTGCAATCAATCTCTCTTCAAATTTATAGTTGGAATATACATATTTATTCAAATTTACAGTTAGATTGGATAACGCTGTGTATAGGCAGAATTTTGATTGTGATCAATAAACAATACCTGAAGAGCATCCAACGCGCCAATTGGTGTATTGGGTTGATGAGGTAGAACCATCCCACGCTCTCCAATCGCTTGCAAAGTGTAACTGGAGGCTGTCAATTTGTGAGCCGTGGCGATCTGCACGAGGAGGTCCATCATCGGCATACTATGAACAAAAAGAAATCCAAAAGACCATTCTCAGTTTGCTTTCGAGCATTTCTCAAGAAATCACTCCTTGAATTTCATAAATCATTCTTTCCAACGAAAGCTTCGAACTTCAATTCATTCAATGAGAATCGATAAGAATTTACTGTATGACCGTGTCAATCGAATAAATAGAATTCTTTCAAGATAGAAATTTTTTTTCAATTCAATATGAAAATTATTTCCCCATCAGTTTCTTGAAATTCAGTTTACCAATGTGTGTGTTACAGACTCTTCCTGAACATTATCCATCCAAATTTTCGAGCTCTAATTCTAATTTCCGAGAAGCCACATTTTTTTTTTTTTTTTTTGCACGTTCGACGAAGTTCGCTACTCTCGCTGGAGGCTCCACGCCACGAAGAAAGAAAATCTGGGATTATGATAATGTGCACCGCAAAGGAACGAGAGAGCACGTTTTCCCACGGCGCGGATGGGTAACTTTCTTTCCGAAAGAAAGACATTCCTCGCGTCTGTAAACGGATCATTAGTCACCAAACCAAATTTTTTAGCAGGATCCAGTATCCGTTTCTTCGGATCGCTGCCAGTTACTAAGCGACCCGAATTTGTGGAAAGTGCTCGATCGACGATCGAGGTGAACTCGTCACTTGGATGAAGAGAAAAAGGCCGATACGCAAGAGGGGGGAAAAAAAAAATCGATCTTGGAGAAACACAGTCGACTAAATTTCTCCTTCCTTCGGTGGTTTTTCTAACAATCTGTAGAAAGCACACACCGCGGATTCAGAGACTCTTTTTGTGGAACTGCCGTAGAGAAGGTCGCACGTTTGCTCGAACAGAGTGGACAGGAAAAGTGACTGGACGTTTCAAGAGTTTTTTCTTTCTTTGTTTTTTTTTCTGTTCGTTTTTTTTTTTTTTTTTTTTTTTATCGCCAATTAAGATGAAAGTAGGTACCCAATGATTGGATTTTTCGATGACTGGAAGAAACTCGAATATCACGGGCGAACCTTTCTTCTTTAGGTCGCATCCTTCAATTGTAGCTTTTGTAAAAAATGAAATACTACAAAGTAACTAGCGGAATTCTTTACAGGTGGAATTTTATGTTTCCTACGTATTATTTTAATTAATAATAAATAAATGGATCTATTGGCACTTCTGAGAGTGTAATATTAACCATTCTTTTTTAGGTAGAGCTCGAATATATCGCATCCTTCAATTGTAGTTTTTGTAAAAAATGAAATACTACAAACTTATGTTTCCTACGTATTATTAATTAATAATAAATAGTATTTTTAATTAATAATAAATAAGTGGATGTATTGGCACATCTGAGAGTGTGACGAAAATTTTTATCAAACAAGAATGTAAGTGTCCCTAAAATTGAACAAAACGCTGGCAACGTTTAAAAATTTTTAATACATTCTCTGTTGAAATTTCATTGTAAATTTTACCAAGCTCCAATTCGAAGAACTGCCTCGAAAATATAATACACACGAATATGAATT